TTGATTGCTGACCATAAATAATTCGAATATTAATCTCAATTCAAAATAATTTTTTGTATGTGAATAAAAAGACATTGATAGTTTTTAAAAATCTTTACTTTTTTTATTGTTTTAAATAGAATATATAGCATATTTGAATAAATTTCCGAATAATTAATTTATTTCTAGGTATCGGTTATCAGTTTTAAGAGCTTTACCAAATTTACAAAAACTTGATGATGAAGTAGTATCACCTGAGGAAGTGCAAACTGCATTGACAAGAGGTCGTGTTTTAGTCCATCCTCTTCTTGATATGTATGCTTCTCCACCACAATCAAATGCAGTTAGCCCAGAAGTAAGATTATTTATTATTTGTTATATTATATTTTTATTTTATAAAATTGCTTTTTAATATATTTATTTAAATCATTTTTTATTATCATAAAATATCTTTATTAAAATTTTTACTTAATTTTTCTAATGATATATATACTATATATTATTATATGTATCATTATATTTAAATCTATGATTTTATTTATTTTCATCATAATAAATTCATTTTAACAAAATCTTAACACTTAAATAACATTTACATAAATAGGATATTACTACTGAATATATTGAAGAAAGTGAAATGACACGACATCGAAGATATAGTTCTTCAAGTGATCAGGTAATATAAAAATCAAGCTGTTGAAATTGTTTCCTTTTTGTTGAAATTTTATTTCTGATAATTTTATTAAAATCTAAATTACAAATTATGTTATCATTATAATATCATATGTACATGCACATTTATTTATTTAATACAAAGAGACAATTTCTTATATGTATATTTATTTACAGAGAAGTTTTGAAGAAACACAACATGTTCAAGAAGAGTATCATGATCCAGATCATAGAAATGCAAATTATAATGCGTCACCATCACATCATTATTCACAAAATAATCAATATGCATATGAGGTAAATGAATGCTTTGCGTTATGTACTTTTGCATGTAAAAAAATGTACATTAATATAATATGATATATGTCTAATGAAAATGTAAAGGAAAATGATTATTCTATATTTGAAATTTTCATTATTAGATTATTTTTATTTTTATATTAAAATTAGAAATGTAATTAATTTTCTATTTTTTTTATTTATATATTTTATTTTTTAATTGTATAATGTTAACTCTATTCGTAATTTATTCTTAGTTGAGCAAAGTATCTAAATCAATATTTAACAATATTTAAATAAGCATGATTTTATTGCTCCTTTTATCTGCAATCATATACTGACAGCAACAAGCAAATGGACAGTCAAAGAATCAAAGCAAAGATGACACTATACGTACAGAGTCGCGCAACGTCAGTGAAAACGTGGCTACTAACACTATTGAAATAATCAAGGTACATTTTATAGATTGCACAATGCTTGTGCAAAGTAGTGTTATTTCTAGTGTTACCTTGATAGTTCTAATATTCATTAGTTAAATTTATATATTACTTACTCAAACTTAATTGCTATTTATCAATTAGTAACATTAATTTTAAATGATTTTTTTTGTAGCTAGTAAAGATATAATTATAAATATAATATATATAATTAAAATTTAAATATTAACTTTATATATATATTTATTATATATTTATTTTTATAAAATTAAAATTTATTCTTGTTAAAATAAAAAATAATATATATAAAAATATAATTTGTAATTTTTATAAAAAATTTAGATTAAATTATTATATTGCAATGTTATTAGCATATTTTTATCTTTAATTGATTTTTTTATGACAAATAAATTGTAAATTTTGAATTTCAATTTTAACAAAATCTTTTAGACAATTCTAAGTGGTTCACTGAAAACAGATAATTATCAATATTGTTATCAAATATAACAAATAATAATTAAGTATAATTAATTTTGTAATATTTTTTAAATGAAATACAAATATCTATATAATATGTACTATTGTTGAAAATAAGTAAAAAAAACTTTTTTATCAAAATTATTTTTAGGAATATGATGACCGATCAGCAATATCTAGACATAATGGAGATTATGATGATAGAAGATCTTATGCAGAATATAGTAATAATGATATTTCTCAACGAACATATGCACCAACGTCTCCAAGGACACAATATGCTACAAATGAAATTCTAGATGAGAGACGAACAGAAAGAAATAATTATGATTATGACAATAGATTGAAATCTGAGTATAAAGAACATCATGATCACAGGATAAAATCAGATTATGAAGAGCAACATCAACCATCATCTCAACCTAGACGAATGGCAGTTCATCACAATGTAGAAAGGGTTAGAATTAAAGTTATTATTATTAATTTTGATTTAAAATTTAATAATATAAATTATATAAAAAAATGAATCAAATGGAATTTTTCTATATTGTAGGAAGATTCAAACCAAGTGCCTGGATGGGTAAGACATTCTGACAAGGAAAAATGTAGATCACAATTTCATTACCACAGAAGGCCTGTCACAAGAGTATATTTCACATATATATTGCTTTACTAAAATTTAAAAATAGATTTAAAAATAATATATAAAATATTTTGATTTTAGAATTCAAACATATTATCAGCTGTATTATGTTTAGTTAAAGAGCTTGACTATCCAAGTTTAGAAGTAGTAGAAATGGCTGTTAGGAATCGAATGGATGAATTAGAAGAATGATGTTTCTGACGCCGTCCCCAAAATCAGGGGACGGTCACTTTTTCTCATATGGGCAGTGTTTCTTCAATTTCAAGTCCAGAATTTTCAGATTCTCTCGATAGTATGGTAATTCCTTGCCAATATATTATTGATAATGATACAAATTGTAATATTGATCATCATACATGTAATCGACATTCGATCGATGATAATACTGATAAATGTCAAATTCGCCGGAATGGCTGTATGGAAACTTCAATGCGAAGTCCAAAAAATATATCTATTCATCCGAATTCAAGATATTTTGGAAATAATCAGAATGTATATAATCTTAGGGACTCTATACCGGATAATCTAATGTCTGTAGTTAGTAACAGCGAAGAAAAGAAAGCCAATGATGTTAGAAGGGTTGCAAGTAGTGACAGCATCCCTCGCAGTAGCTTTAATGGTTTAACTTTAAGTCCAGGATGCAGGGTTTTAAGTCAGGATTGTGTAAGAAGGTCAAAAAGTCCCGATATTAGAAATACGATCGTCCCTCTTCGCTATATTCAGTCAGCAAAAGGTACTTGGACATATAATTTATAAGTTAAATTATAAGTAACATTAATACTCTCTCGAAATAGAAAAATTTCATTTAGAAAAAATTTCGAGAAATTCCTAAAATTAGATAATCATTATATACTAAAAAGAAATGGCATAATTTGTGCAGTTTCAGAAGAGGACATATATAAAAGTATAAAATTAGAAACAATTGTGATATTTCTTCAAGGAGTAAAAAATAAAATTTTAGCGCAATTATTTCAATGTAATATATAAATTCAGTATATTCAAGATAATATGTTTATGTACTTTATATAAATGATGCAAAAATTAAAGATGAATTTTACATTGTTTAAAATAAATATATTATTCATTGCATCAATTAAAGTACTGAGTGCAATATTTCTTAATATTTTAATATCTTAATATTATCTAATTTCTTAATATTATTTTCGATATAATGTGATTTATAATTTGCATGAATATAAATGGAGTTGTGTTTTATATAGTTTTTTTTTAGAATTTTGTTTAAAATATCATATGACTGTTATATATTTTTAAAGAGTTTTTATAAATTACAACGTGATACAATGTACTTAAAATTTGTATATAAAGCATATAATCAAAGATGAATTTATGTCAGATTAAATATTTTTAAAAAATCTTCAATAATTTAAGTTAAGTAAAATATTTTACTTATATTTAATATCTGTCATTAGATTTTTTATAATGTGCAATAATTTATGAGATGAAGTGTAATATAATTTCATATAGATTGTACAAAATATTTACAAATTTTTGAGCATTAATTTTAGTAATTTTTCGAGTATCATTCAAGATTATATTTGTTTTTTTAACAAATGTTTCTGTACATTCATATTTATTTAAAAAATATTAAATTCGTGTAAAAATTTTAAGTACTGATATTTTTTTTCATTTTTATTATTATTTCTATTGTCGAATTTTTGTGCGCATTAGTATACATGCAATACATTTTAAAAATTTAATTGATATTAATTAAATTATAAGTAAAATTGTACTCAAAATGATATAAAAAAAAAATATAATGATTAACAAAATATATGAAGATTAAGTTCGTGCAATAGCACATATACACTATATAGATTAATATTAGACTGATAAATATTTATGCATATTTTTTTTGGAATGAAATCTTCATATATGTTACAAATGGGTAAACGGTGTGAGAATTTAAATAATATGGCTATTAAATTCTTTCTACAATTTAAACCGTTCCATGTAACTAAGCCAATTTTGAACCTAGATTTAAGATATTTTATAAAAATGCGGAATATAATATTTTTTGTTACATATAACCGTCCACTTATATTATTTTATAAATAATTAATATTATTGTTACTTAATATTGTTACAAGACTATTATAATTAATTGCCTAATATTTGTTCAACATAAAATGCAAATGTTAAATATTTTTTTTTAACTTAAAATATGTTTTGAGACAAATTATATATAATAAAAATAAAAATTGTAACATATGTCTTTCATTTTAAATGACTTATATTATCAAAAGTTTAAATCGAAAAAAAAAAATTTAAATTGTTATTCAAATGTTTATTGTTATTATTATTATTAATTATTAATTATTATAACTTAAATTTTTCTAGTTAATGTATGTAATTATTATCTTATTGTAGTTATAATATTAATGTGTTTTACAAAATAAAGTTTACAAAATTAAATATATAATTTCTTAATTTATTGATTAAAAAAAAACAAGTAAACTTAAAATGCAATATGCTTGTTTTTGAAAAAAATGATCGTCTATATCTATGAAATATAAAATATTGCGCAATTTTATTTAAATTACGTCGAATAATTTTATGTACACTTTTGTTGCTAAGACAACGCTATCGGTAAATTAACTCATACGTATACTAGAATTATAAAAGTACTTTGTTTCTAAAAGTAAAAAGTGATTAAAAAAAATGTCATCATATGCAACACCAATACTTTATTTAAATATGGGTGGCGAAATGTTATATGTTTTGCGACAAAGATTGAAAGCACAAAGAATAAGTATTGATAAAACTATACAAGGCTAGTTTAATATTATAAGATAAAATATATAATGTATTAATTTATGTCAAATATTTATGTGTTTTCTTTGTATATTATTGCATATTGATTAATTTTTTAATGTGTTTTTATTTAATTTGTAGTATTAGATGATGTAATTGCAGCACTGCTTAATCCTAAAAGACTATCTTCTATATTTGAAGAAAAATCTTTGACTAAAGTATCTTTTTTACGATCTACTTTAGAATCTGTTGTATTATCATCAATAATGAAACTTGATAAAAATAGTATGGATAAACTATTTGATTTAATGATTATGATGGTTAAATATCAGTTAATTGCAGCTACTGGTCCTGTAGAAGTTATATTATTAACGTTAAATCATATAGATGCAATGCGTGATATGGTTAGCAATTCAAATGCTCAACAATGTATTGGATTGGTACATCAAATGGTAATTGATGTAAGTATTTTATTCCTTAATTAAATTATTCATGCTTAATCTTTAAAATAATTTACTAATGATTCTACAGTTTTATAGTATTTTAACTTTTGAAGAAGTTTGGAATGCTAGGAATGATTGTATAAAAGAATTAGAATATTATTGTGTGAAAATATCTATTCTTCTTAGACTTGGGTTACAAAATGATGATGGAAGTTTTAATTCAATGCATCACAAATATAACGAAAAATATGAAGAGAATAAAACTAATTTTTGTAATATTAAATTATGTGATATAAATTTAGAAACATACTGTAATGGTTCTTTTAATTTTTTTGGAGAACGCGGTACAATACTTGGAAAAAATATGTAAGTATCAAATATATATAAAATATGTATTTTAAGGCAGAAATATATAAGAAAAATATTATATAGGTATTCAATGTCATATGGTATATCAAAATTAACTTCTGAACAAGAAAACCAAAATTATATAAAAGACTGTGGTATAAAAGCAGAACTTGGTATGTTAGCTGTTCAACTAGGAACTGAAGAAACTTCCTATAAACGACCTTTTACTTTAAATTTGCTTTCAAATGAAGATAATGATAATGCAAACATAAAAGAAAATTTTGATTCTTTAAAAGATAGTCACAATGATGCAATTGTAAAATTTGAAAAAACAAAACTTAATGAAGATTATAAAACGAAACTTGATATTATACGTGCAGATCTTTTTGAAAATGATTGTGAAGAGATAAAACATAATACAAATTTGTTGGAATTATTAGATAAAACGGAATAATTTTAATCTACTTTTCAATTACATTGTATAATTAATGCATAAAAATTTTCTTGAACTTTTTCTTTACATATATAAAAATTCTGTCACACAAATAAATATTTTTTTTATGTAGAACAATAATTCATTTTTTATATTAATGTAGTTAAGTTTTATTTAATTTTTTATCTGCTATCTATGATGAATTATTTTAAAATTACTTCGTAGTTTTAATGAAAAATATATTTAATTTAATTTAATTAAATTCATTACAAAATGTATCATAGCAAACATCATTAAGTTATTTTTTGCATTAAACATATTAACATTCATTTTTAATATATAAAAATGATACTAAGTATAATAAAAAATGCAATCGTTAAAAAATTGTTAAATTACAATCTAGAAAAAAAATTTACTTTATGGTTTAGTCATATCCAAGATATATTTTACTCCAGTTCGGCCATCTGTATGTAATGCATTTAGAACAGCTTCTTGATACTGATGAAATGGTACTAACTTATGAAGTGGAGCCTTTAATTTTTTGTTTTTAAATAATGCTCCTAATTCACGAAACATATTTTGACGCTCTATAGAATCCATATTTTTTTTTGTCCATGCTGTCATCCAAAATCCTTTAAATGTTATATCCTATTTAATAATTGAGATTATTAAAAAATATTAATGATTTAATATTAATAATAATTATTTCATATGTAATTAATTAATATACCTTAAAAATAAGTGCAGAAATTGGAACTGTTAAAGGTTCTCTAGACATACCACCATAAGTTATCATAATACCTCCATGTGCTAAATGTCTTGAAACTTCCAATGCATTTTGTCCACATATACAATTCAAGGCTAATTTTGGTGAAGGCAATTTTTTACTTTTAAAAATTTGAGTTTTTCTTATTTCATTCTCAGTAAAAATTTCGTCAGCACCCAAACTTGATAAATGATTCTATAAAAGCTTTTTATTAAATTATCCATTATATGAATAAAATTTATTTTTAATTTTCTTCATACCTTTAATTCTTGTATATTTGGTCTGTCTCGTACAACACTAACAGACTTATAATCCCATACTTTACATAATTGTATAACCATTTGTCCAACAGCTGAATTTCCACCATTTTGAATTACAGTATCTCCAGGTTTTAATTTTACAAAATCTTTAAGCATTCTATATGCAGTACATGGATTTACATTTAACATACTAGCTTCTATAGTACCAATTTCTTTAGGAACCTAAAATTTTAACCTGAGTCAATTATAATATTATTTTAATAAAATATAAATATCTCATATTTAAAAATATATTATATACCTTCATAAGTTCTTCTGAAGTATAATTTGCATATGTTCTCCATGTTCCTAAATTTGTGCCGTTTGGTATAACTCTGTCACCAACACTTAAATGTTTTACATTAGATCCAATAGCTATTACTTCACCTACTCCTTCATTTCCTGGAATAGCTGGTAAAGGTGGTTTACTTGGATATTTACCTTGTATTGTGTTTATGTCTGCTGGATTAACAGGTGCTAACAACCATTTTACAGAAACCTTTATAAAATATTAATATTTTTATTATAATATATCAAATAAATATATTTTCTTAATTTACCTCATTATTTTCTGGTTGATTAATAGGTTGTGTTGTAACATGTAAAACATCTGCAGGTTCTCCATATTCTTTATAAAATAAAGATTTTACAGAATCTGTTTTAACCATCGCATTTATATGGCGAACTGATGTCAAATTTATCATATTTGACCGTGACAAAGGTAAAATCAAGTTTTTTACGTATATAACCATTTTAATATTCTATGATTATATTCAAATGTTCTTTAAAAAATAATTCTTCCGAATAATCACGGTAATGATTGAGAGGTCATGTAAAGAATTGCTATAATCATAAATTTGCCTACATATGCTAAATAGATAAAATTTTAATCTATATAATTTAATATTCTAAATATTAGACGTGTTTATTATAATTTCTTTAGAAAAAGAAATTTTTAATAATCTCTAAGTTTAATATCTATTAATTACACAATTACTTTAATATTTTGCAAATAAATATATATATATATATGTATATATTTTTATATATATATCACGTTGTTTTATGTTATATAAATACAAAGATTTTTTGAGTAAACTTAAACTTATTTTACACGTTATAGTTAAACATATTTTACAATTACAAAATCATATTACAATATTCAGTGTATCAATAATACCAAATATGAATCAAAAACTTTCATGAGTGAATAATATTATTAAAGTTCCCTATAAAATTCCTTATAAAATTTTTATAATATTCAGAAAAAAAAATGATAATTTTTTAATCTCTGTTTTAATAGATAAAAAGAATAATCACAATATTAAAAATAATCAATGTCTTCTAATATAAGTTTAATAATTTTTGTTACGAATCATAATTGTTATAAATTTTATAGTTAGTTACGATTTGACATTTCAATGGATGACATAAGTTTCTGACTCATATTGTGTGTTATATGTAACAATAGCTTTATATATACATTCGATTTAATAATAGTTTTATATATTATTATGTAAATAATAAAATTAAGTACATTAATTTAATTTTAAGGTAAATCATTAAATAAGTTTAATATTCAAAATGCTTTCATTGTTCCATTCTTTATAAACTCCATTTATTATTGAAAATTTTAAAAATTAAAAAAAATTATTAATATTATTATTATATATATATATATATATATATATATATATACATGATTATTATTATTATATATTTCTTTATATATTATTAAAAAATTAGGAAAATGATGGCTTCAGAAGTAGGTTCAACAAATAATGAACCTGTACATGTCAAAATAAGCAGTGAAAAAGCTCCTTTAATTCATGGAAGAAGTGTTTTGCATAGATTAAGTAATTTTTTTAAGTTTGGAAGAGTACAGCATACAGAAGGAGATGGATATGTGGAATTTGGTAGTTTAAATGCAGATAGTGGTCGTACTTTGGGAACATTTGCTGGTGTATTTAGTCCTGTTACATTATCAATGTTCAGTGCCTTAATTTTTATACGAATGGGTATGAATTTTATTTAAAAAATGCAAAATATTTTATTAAATTATTTCTATAATTTTATTAATAAAACATTAATTTTTATGTAAATTATATGAAATTTTTTTACATAGATAAACTTTCTAAATTATAGGATATATTGTGGGCAATGCTGGATTATTTGTCACTTTGATACAATTCATAATTGCATATGGAATTTTACTATTTACAGTAGCATCTGTATGTGCAATTTCTACAAATGGTGCAGTTGAAGGAGGAGGTGCTTATTGTATCCTTATTTAAATTTTTAATAATTATTAGTTTATTATATATAAAATGTAATATATAAAAATAAGATACTATTTTTATTAATTGATATTTTTTAATTGATTTAATTGATGAATATTATTTAATTGATACTTTTAGTACAAATTATATTAGACTATATGTTTAATTTTTTGTTTATAACTTATACATTATATAAATTACTGATACATTATTTTAAAAAAGTATTTTAAGATACGAAAAAATTAATAACTATAATAATTAATACAATTTTTATTATATATTTCTTTTTAAAATAAGTTTTTATTAAAAAATATATATTATTTAAAAAATATATATATTTTATATATATATATTTTTCCTATTATTAATTATTATACAGTTATGATTAGTCGTACTCTTGGACCAGAATTTGGTGGATCTATTGGCACATTATTTTTTATGGCTAATATTGTGTCCAGTGCACTTTGTATTTCTGGATGTGCAGAAGGTTTAATAGAAAATTTTGGTCCTTCTGGTTATTTGGCTGGTAAAAGTGCATTGATACCAGATGGTAGATGGTGGAGATTTTTATATTGTTCAATATTAAATACTGCCAATTTAATAGTATGTCTAATAGGAGCTGCAATGTTTGCAAAAACTAGTGTTGCAATTTTGGCAGTTGTATGTATTTGTTTAATAAGTGTTTTCATAAGCTTTTTGGCAAAAGGGTATATGGAGGTAATTATGTGAAAGATGCAAAACTTATTAATTGAAGTAAAAAGTATTTATATGAATTATCTTTTATTATATTATATTATATATATTATAGATACCAATACCAGATGCAAATATGTTGGTTCAAAATGCAACAGAACATGTTAATGGTACATATACAGGATTATTGTCATCTACTCTTATAAGTAATCTTTACTCAAATTACAGTCATGATTATTCAAGTGAAGGAACAATGACTGATTTTGCAAGTGTCTTTGGTGTATTATTTAGTGGTGTCACTGGTATAATGGCTGGAGCTAATATGAGTGGTATTTCTAAAATAAAATTATTAAATGACAATTTGTATTTTATTTATATTTTAAATTTTAATATTTAATAAAAATTTGTAGGTGAATTGAAAAATCCAGGCAGAAACATTCCACGTGGAACTTTGTCAGCAGTATTATTTACATTTATATGTTATATTCTTCTGTCTCTTCTTACAGCTGCAAGTACAAGTCGATTTTTATTACAAAATGATTTTATGTATATGATGCCAATTAATATTTGGCCACCATTTGTAGCAGTTGGCATATTAACAGCTACATTTAGTGCTGGTTTAAGTAATTTGATAGGATCAAGTAGAGTTTTGGAAGCTCTAGCAAAAGATAATGTATTTGGTAAATATTATAAATTTTAAGTCTTTATAAATTCCTTATATATTTATTTATTTTGTCTATTTAATATTTGTAGGTTCTGGTTTAAATTTTATAATACAAGGAACATGGAAAGGAAATCCAATTGCTGCAGTTTTAACTTCATGGAGTTTAGTTCAAATAATTTTGTTAATAGGTTCTTTAAATACTATTGCTCAGATTAATTCAGTATTGTTTTTGCTGAGTTATTTAGCTACTAATTTAGCTTGTCTTGGTCTTGAACTTGCAAGTGCTCCAAATTTTAGGTATGTAATTTTATAGATATGTATTTTAGAATATATTTATATTAGAATATATTTTGAAAATAAGAATAAAAATAATTACGCATTTTTACAGACCGACATTTAATTATTTTACATGGCATACAGCTACAATTGGCCTTCTTGGTACATTAATAATGATGTTTGTTATAAATAGTATTTATGCTTCTAGTAGCATAATACTTTGTTTAATTTTAATTATTGTTTTGCATTTATTTTCTCCAAGTAAAAACGCTCCTTGGGGGAGCATTTCTCAAGCACTTATATTTCATCAAGTTAGGAAGTACTTATTAATGTTAGATTCACGTAAAGATCATGTAAAATTTTGGCGACCACAAATGCTCTTAATGGTAGCATCTCCACGATCAGCATGCCCACTTATAGATTTTGTAAATGATTTAAAAAAAGGAGGACTTTATGTAATAGGGCATGTAAAAATTGGAGAATTTTTAGGTCAGAATATTGATCCTACCATAGAAGAGTATCCACATTGGTTGAGTTTAGTTGATCACATGAAAGTAAAAGCATTTGTTGAATTAACAGTTACAAAAACTGTACGTGAAGGACTACATCATTTAATTAGAATATCTGGAATGGGAGCAATGAAACCAAATACAATTGTTCTTGGTTTTTATGATGAACAAATGCCAATAGATTTTTTCAAAAATTCACAATATGCAACTGATATGTTTGAAAATGTTTCAACTTTACCGAACAGTACTGCATTTCCTTTAAGGCATACAAATACAGAAAAAAAATCTGGATCCAATACAATATGTAGGAATGTGCTCAGATATTTTAAGAATGAAAAAAAATTTGTGTTTATGTCGAAATTTTCATACTTTAAATAAATTACAAATAGCTAAGTAAGTATATAAATATTTTATTAATTTGTATCATTAAATTATTTTCTTATATTTCATTTTTTAGAAACTCATCTTTAAAATATATTGATGTATGGCCTGTGAATTTTTTTCAACCAACAGATCAAGATCCATTTGATACAACTTCATTATTTATGTTGCAACTTGCGTGTATTATCAACATGGTACCTATATGGAAAAATTTACATCTTAGAGTATTTCATTGTGAAATTTCAGACAGTAACTCAAGTTTAAATATATCAGATTCACAAAATTCGATAAGTGAATTTCCTCGGATTTCTAACGAATTTCGTATAAGAAAATTATTAAATATGTTGAGAATATCAGCATCTATTAAAAAGATTCCGAATTGGGGAATGCAAGTACGTGGGTTAAAAGGTCATTCTCTCATTGATTCAGCTGTAGAAAGTCAATATGAATCAAGCAATGAAAATAATGATATCTTAAGTAATATTTCACGTGCTTATATTTTGAGGTAAATATTATTTAAATTATTTTATATGTTTGCTGTTTAAATAATATTTAACAATTTTTTAAGTAACTTATATTTCTAATTGATTAACTTTATTTTTCAGTGTGAATCAACTAATTAGACAACATTCTTCACAAACTGCTACAATATTTATATATTTACCTGCACCCCCAGTATCAAATACATGGGATGAAAATACTATATATCATCAATATCTTCAATTATTAACAGAATTATCAGCAGACTTACCGCCTATAGTATTAGTGCATGGTGTCAGTGCAGTTACATCAACAACACTATAATGAAATGTAAATACATGAGAATGGAAATTCTTGTTGCATAATTTTTATAACAGAAAGTATTATTTAACAAATAATTTTAGAGATTTTAAATTATAATTTTTATATCTCCTATATTTTTGGAGAAATGACAATTGGAATTTAAAAAAAAAACAATACCAAAAATATTTTATTATAATATATTCTCTATTATAAATTACTAATTATGACAATTGAGAAATAGTAATGCTTTCTTATTACAATAAGAAAATCTTGTAACAAATATCGGTTATTGCTGTGATAATGAA